CAAAATTAAGTCATCAGTACTTAATTTTAGTTTTAAATACAATATACAAAAAGTTTTTAGTTGTTGACTGTGTCCATTTCTAAATTTCTAGAGAGAGAAATACATGAGCTCCTAGTGCTTTCAAGACTAGAATCAAAATTGTATGAACTGGAAGAGATAGGGGCTCTTTCAAATAATCAGCTGGATGTTATGAGTAAGTACAGAATTAGGTTTTGAAGCATGTATTTCATGGTAAAAGAAAAAGTTCTTTGGCAGATAACCTGTACAGGCACAATTTATTTAGTGAACAAATATAAAATTGCAATTGCAGAAAAGTATTTTAAATACATTATTTCTTTATTATTCATTATAATCTGATTGTATTTCTAGAAATAAAAGTGCACAATCTAAAAGAACAAAGAAAGAGTTCAGTTGATAGACGTCACATAATTTATCCCAAAGAACATTCAGAAAAAAATATACTTGATAGTAAGTATAAACAGTGGTATAATATTAAGTTATTTGCAATTAATGTATAAAGATGAATCCAGTATCCATCAAGTTCAACCTATCAATCAAATTCTGCTGCTTTTTAGAATGCATGCATGAATTAGTTTGGACCATGTCCATTATTTGGAACTCTATTTAGTTTCTCCCCGCCTCATACTAATTTTGTGTTGGTATCATGTGGTGAAATAATGGCCCACTGAAAATAGTTTTATCCTTTTCATTCTGCTAATGCCGAAAAGATAACTTGGAGTATTATTAAGTGGTCTTTGTAGAGTCTAAGGTCTGAAACTATATCATGCCATTGAGAAATTAATTATTGTGTTTTAACTAATTCTAGGCTCCCTTTTTGTTTGAATAAGAAATTGATAGTCTAAGATTTGAATTAAATCAATAGTTATTTCTGTACTACTGTCTTTGTAATCATGATGTCAAAATCCTGTGAAGGAAGAAGGCAAAACATTCATGATATACAGGATAAATAATTATAATCACTTCTTTACCCTAAAAACAATGCCTCTGCTACTTATAATCCATAGTAATGTTACATCTTCCGGTTAAATTTCAGGTCTCTCTCTACCACTTGACCTTTCATCATTTTATACTGACTTATTCTCAGATGTAAATGTAGAATGTACCCATATTTATCCCAGTTCTCTTCTACAGCTTGCACTGTCATTATAATAACACTATATTTTTCACCCCTGTATCTTCCTTATTTATTCCTTGTCAGTATTGCTTTGTAAATGTGCATTAAAGCTTACTGAGAATAGATCCTAACCCAAGATGCATATGGTCAAAAAGTCACCAAGGTAAAAAGCAGAGGAGGAGGAGGAGGAAAGTGGAGGCAAGCTAATTATAGCCTTAGTTATAGTAATATATGTACAGTAGAAAATTGTGTGTATGTTCTGTAGAAAAGATGGGCCTTGAGGATTGACTTGAAAGGTGGGGAGGAGAGATTACATCTTTTTCATCTAAAAGAGATTAGCTTTGTTGGGGGAGTTCAACAAAGGAAGAGAAGTAGAATCAGCTGAAGGAACAGGCGGCTTTCAAATGTCTAAGAGTAAAAAGCTGCATGCAACAGTGGTAAACACAATTCTTCTTGTATTCCTACTATTTTCTCACATGGAGTACTTCACTGGTGGGAGATGGTATTGTTATGAACACATCTCATGTGAATTTAATGCTTCAGTGAAGATTGTTATTTTATTTTTAGGACGAAAAGAAGCAGTAAAAGAATTTCTTGAACAAAAAAAACATTTGTTTTCATATTTGCAATCAAGTATCAGAGATCTGCAACAGAAAGGCCTTCTTCGGCAAGGTGTGTTTGGTAAATACAATGTTATTATATCTGGTTATGATATTTTTGGATTTTTTTTAGAGCTTTTTTAAAATAAAGGGCCCCACAAAAAAGTGATTATATATTTCAAAAAATCCTTAATTCAGATAGACACATGTTTGTATTTATTTACTTCTCTTGTAGCTAACCCATTCTTCAAACTTCTTTTTCTGTAAACAGATTCCAGTGAAGGAGGGGGGGTGATCAAGAACAGAATTTCCACTTTGAAGTTTCCAATAATTTCTATCACATGTTTACCTTAGAAGTTTCCATTAAAGAATAATCAATAAAAAATAATCCTTGATTTGTTTGTGATCCATTGGTCTTTTTGGCTGTCCTTGGTATTCTTAGGAGTCTTCTCCAACACCAAAGTTCAAAAGCGTCAATACTCTTTCTATCCTGCTTGTTCAGAGTCCAACTTTCACTTCCATAGAGTGTCACAAGGAATATCATGGCTTGCACAATTCTGATCTTTGTAGACACGTCACAGCATTTGAATACCTTTTCCAATGCCTTTATGGCTGCTCTGCCAAGTGCTAGTCTGTAGTATATTTTTTGACTGCTTGTTCCTTTATTGTTAATGGTTGATCCTAAAAGGCAGAATCTATTCACCATTTCAATATCTTCATTGCCAATTCTAAGGCTGGTTATTCTACCTGTTGTCATTAGTTTGGTCTTCTTTATATTTAATTTTGGTCCTGTTTTTTCACTTTGCTCCTTAACTTTTATTAATAGAGCTTGCAGATTCTTTGTATTTTTGGCTATGAGGGTAGTATCAGCATAGCACACGTTATTGATATTTCTTCCTCCAATTTTAAAACCATGCTCATCTTCTTCCAATCTAGCTTCCCTTAATATATATTCAGCATATAGGTTGAATAAATAAGGGGAGAGTATGTAGCCTTGTTGCACTCCTTTGCCAACCTCGAGAAACATGAAACCATGTTTTGTCTATACTGTGGCTTCCTGACCTGTACATAAGTTTTCCATGAGGATGATGAGATGTTTTTGGATATCCATTTTTCTAAACACATTCTACAGCTTGATGTGATTGACACAAACACCTTTCTATAATCAATGAAGCACATAGTGACTTCTTTTTGGTATTCTTTGGCTTTCTCAATTATTCAGTGTGTATCAGCAATAATGTCTCATGTTCCTCAGCCTAAAGTCAGTTTGAACATCTGGCATCTCTTTTTCCATGTAGGGCTGTAATCTATGTTGGGTGATCCTAAGCATTATTTTGCTAACATGTGAAATTAAAGATATTGTACAATAGTTTGCACATTCTATTAAGTCTCGGGTTTTTTGATGTTGTAATGTAGATTAACCTCTTCCAATTGGTTGGCCACTGTGTCATTCTCCAGAATAGTTGGTGTAGCTTGGTTAGAACCTTGACTGATTCTCTGTTGCTTGCCATATTTCAGTGGGTATTCCATCAGTTCCTGTAGCCTTCTGACTTGATAATGACCGGAGTGCTGATCTAACTACATCTTCTAGTTCTAGAGGTTCTTGTAAGTAGGGAATATCTTCTAAAGTATCTTGGATTTTATTTATTTGTCAAATTTATTTATTTGTCAAATTTATATGGCTGCCCATCTCACCCAAAGTGACTCTGGGTGACGTACAATAAAAACAAGAATTAAAACATTTTACATCTTGGATGTTGACATCTCTACTATACAGTGTTTCAGTATTTTTTTTTATTATTATTTATTTATTTATTTATTTATTTATTTATTTATTTA